CCATCTTCCTTCCGAGGAGTGGCTGGTGGGTTTGAACCGCCAGCCTTCTGGTTAACAGTCAAGTGCCTTAGCCACTATGCTACCAGAGCTCCCATCTATATTTATAGCTATGTCTATATCTATCTATCTAATGAATTCTACTGCTGAGCCCAGTCAAAGAAGTTTTCTGATGGAGGAGATGCTTGATGTTGGCCTTAAATCATGGGTAGATTTCTCGGAAAGAAGAGTGAGAATTCTAGGCACAGACTAAGTCAGTCTGATTGGAAACAGTGCAAGTTTGTATTAGAGAAATTTGTGTAGCACTCACATTGAAAGATGACATGTATCATTCAAAGATGTGCTGAGCTCCAAAGTCATTTTTTTTCTACTCTGTCAGATTAGCATAAACACAGATACTATTTAGTAAGATAGATGATGAAAGAAGGAAAGAAAGGTAGGGGACTAATCATACAAATTGAAGCATAGTGGAAGATAACAATTTGTAAACTATAGTCTTTTAAGGATTATATGTGGCTCCTTGAATGTACAGTTGAGAGAAACTTTAATCTCTGAAGCAGCATTGCCCCATTGTGGCTATACAAGGAGGTTACACAACAATTTCCTACAGTTTCTTAGATTTGTGATCAGCAACCCTTGCATCAAGAAGAGCATTGAAATAAGGGGTTGATTCTTCTTCTCGAGCCAGTGAGTTCCTCCAATAGAAGAAATTTTGCCCTTGTGAGGTCAGCCACATAACCTTTGCTGCTGCTGCTGCTGGTCTCTATTTAGGTGTGTCTCAGGAGGATCTGTTTGGGATGCTGGACATACCAGGAGAGAATAAAATAATAATAATAATATAAAAAAACCACTGTCATCCATTCAGTCAATTCTGACATATATAAACGGAAGTATAGTGGACCCATAGAGATTAGAACTGCCCTATAGGGGAGCTCTGGTAGCATAGTGCCTAAGGCACTTGACTGCTAACCAGGAGGCTGGCGGTTCAAACCCACCAGCCACTCCTCGGAAGGAAGGTTGGGCATTCCTACTTACATAGTGATAACTGCCTCGGAAACCCAAGGAGGGGTCACTAGGAGTCGGGGCCGACTCGATGGCAAATAACAACAACATAACATAGGGTTTCCAAGGCTGTAAATCTTTACAGAAGCAGATTGCCTCATTTTTCTCCCACAGAGCAGATGGTGAGTTCAAACCACCAATCTTTTGGTTACCAGCCAAATGCTTTAACCATTATGCCACCAAATCTCTTCTCTAGGGTCCCTATCTAAGCAGAAATTGGCCCTTCAGGCTGAGTTGTTACCTGGGCTCTCCTTCCTCTCATAGCATCAATAATACATCAGGGAGAGACCTTCATACTAAAGAGAACTGTAACTTTACCAACACATGGTATGATCAGTCTTTTTAATTTTAGTCAGCCTTATGGATGTGTGTCAGGATCTCATTGCGGTATTAAACTTTTATTTTCCAGATAACCCGTGCTATAGAATACAAATCAGTAAACTTTTTCCATAAAGTATAAGAAATTAAATATTTTCAGTTTTATAGGCTGTGCCATCTCTGTGGCAGCTACTGAATTCTGGCATTATAACACAAAAAAAAAGCCATTGATAATGTAAAGAAATGAGCATGTCTGTCTGTATTCCAATAAAACTGACTCTAAGGGCTGGATGAAGACCCCTAGACCTTGGGCTTCAGCTCTGCCTCTAGTTCCAGGCCCACTGGAGTTGGAGGCGTCTTCTAACCTACTGAGCTACTGAGGCAGATGAACCACAATCACAAAATTGGTAGGCAACACAGCAGGCCACTGGTTCAAGTCCAGGGACTGGAGAAGAATGCTTGACCAAATGAAAATCCAGATATGCCAAAAAGCTAGAGCCCTTTCTCAAAGCTTCTCCTTATATACTGAAAGCAGGCCACACCCAGAAGGCAGTTACGTAGGCGCTCACAGTATATTCTTCCATGGAGGTGATTATAATCTCATCATGGGGAATGGCCATGTCCAGCTGCCCAGCCACTCAAAACCAGTGTCCAGTCAAGTTGACATACAACCTTAACTACCACACTGGGCTTCACAGAACTCAATGCAGAGTGATACTTTTCAGTATATTTCAGTAAATATAACTTCTTCACTCAAAATCCCCCAATAGCTTTCATTTCACTTATAACAAAAACCAAAGTCTTGATAATGTCCCCATACAATCTGACCTCCTTTCTACCTTTGATTGTGTCTCCTACTACTCTCTTCCTTAATCACTCCATCTATACTGGCAACATTACTGTTCTCCAACATGTTAACATATTTCTACTTTAGGGACTTCAATGTGTTATTACATCTATGTAGAATAGGTTTGCCTCAGATACCTCACAACTTGCTTCCTTGCCTCTCTCTCTAAAAAAACCTCACTGCCATCAAGTCGGATCAGCGATATCACTACAGAAGTAGATTGCCCAACCTTTCTTCCTAGGAGAGGCTGGTGGGTTTGAACCACCAGACTTCTGGTTAGCAGTCAAATGTCTCAGGCACTATGCTACCAGAGCTCCTTGCCTCTCCCTAGTATTTGGTAATTTTTCATGCTCTTGATGTGGTCTTAAGGAGCTGTGGTGGTGTTGTGGGTAAGATATTTGGCTGCTAACCAGAAGGTCAGTGCTTCAAACTCACCACCTGCTCCATGGGAGGAAGATAAAGCAATCTACTTCTGTAAAGATTTACAGCCTTGGAAACCCAGTGGAGGTCGCTATGAATCAGAATTAACTCAAAGGCAGTGGATTTTGGCTGGTGTGGTCTTGCCTCTCTCCTCTCTATAAAATTGCAAACACTTGTGCCTACTGATAGCCTGGATTTGTGGTACGATACAGAGCTGGAAGACAATGTCTCAGGGTAGGGTTAGAGAGAAGTCAATGGGCACAACACCCAGTCAGTTGACCAGTTACAATGTCAATGTTTCATGATGAGATAAAGAACAGGACTTGAAGTAATACCTGAACTTGGAGGCATCATTTCATCCTTGCCACATAAGGATTATTTATCACTAGGGAGCTCTGGAGCTCTGGTAGCATAGTGCCTAAGGCACTTGACTACTAACCAGAAGAGTGGCGGTTCAAACCCACCAGCCACTCCTCGGAAGGAAGATTGGGCAATCTACTTCTGTAGTGATACTGCCTCAGAAACCCAAGGAAGGATTGCTATGAGTCAAAGCAACTCGACGGCAGTGAGTTTGATTTTTTGGTTAAGTGAGATTAGAGGATGAGGAAGAGATAATAAAGTGTTCCAGTTGCTTTTTTTTTTTTTTTTTTCAATAAATGTGATTTAAAGTAAAGGTAAGAAACACTCTCAGCCACTTCCTCCAAAAATGTTATTGGTTAAATACTGAAGAGATCCTTAGGTATTTAAACCCTTAACAATTGGAGATGGAATAAAGAAAAATC